AATGGTAGGATAGTCGAAAATGTCCGTCGTTTGAATCTGAGCGTTTGGGAAGTATTTGTTGTTCAGAATCTCAACAAAGTCCATCAGATTTAGCGAGTCCAAGCCTAGTTCCATGAAACCTGTTGACAATGAGGTGGAATTGGCCACGAGCTCTTGAGGAAGAACTTCTCGTGTGGCAGTTATGATTTTCTTGAGTACGTCATCGTTAGGGACTTCTTCTGCTCTTGTGCGAGATTGCGTACTCCGCTGAGGTGGTGACACTTTCCTTTTCGTTTTTCCTTGCTCTAAGGCTAGATGTTCGATCACCCTCAAGGGCTCTATCACTTTTGGGTTTGGTTCTATCAGTTTATTTTGAGTATGTTCGGCCAGTCGTTCAATGGTGGGGTAGTTGGAAATATCAGCGGTTGGAAGTTTTGTTTCTGGAACTTCTTCCATGATCGTTGATGAGCTCAGTCTGTGCGCAGTTCTCTGAGAGCTTGGCCTGTCGGTTTTTGCGCTCTGACCTTTCCAGCCTCCGTTTACGGATTGTTGTACTGTGTTGTTATTCTTTGCTTGTTCCATATTTTGAGAATCATTACAAAGTACGAGGTTACTCGCAACATTTGTCGTTTTGTTTGAGCTCATGGCGGTATCGTCTGCCATCATTACAAGTTTGCCACATGCCCATACTTCAATCCCATACCCACTTCTAGATGTTTTACCTAACACCACATACCTGGAAGGTAACTGTGCAAAAATGACGAATCTGTCCAATATTATTCCAGGAAACATTTTCCAAGCTATCTCAAACACAGCGGTGTATGGCAACTGATTAGTATTCGATTGTACTTTCGCTTTTTTCGAAGCAATATCACATGTTACTATGGCACAGCGTGCATTTGACAGATACATGGGTGAATTTGATTGGAGTGATTTTGATTTTACAGGAGTAGTTGATGAAGTCTTTGATTTGTCGTTATTTGAAGTAGCGCGGCATTCAAAAAAGTTTCTGCCCTCGAGCTGTGAGGTCACTTCATAGACACCATCACACTGTTTTATTGTCGTCAGAAGCTTAGTCGATCGGTTTAGATTTTGCACTTGAACATGAAATTGTTCTATCACGACGCTGCCTTGAACTTGTTGTCTTAGCGCAGTGTAGGCAATTTCTAAAGCAGAACTCGCTCCCATTTGGTTTTTACCGAAAAGTTGGGGATGCCGCAAGTCGTCAATATAGTTTACAAAAACAGTCTTGTTTGCTTTCTTTTCTTTGATAGAACCAAGAAGGTAGTGCTCAAATGCAGGACTTTTCTTCTTGAACCAAAGCTGTCTGCGATTAAATGGGGTGTTGGGTAACAAAATATGACAGCTCGTCTCCATAAAAAGATTGGAAAGTAGAAGAGGATAGCCATTGACATATAGCTTTGAATATAACGCAAGCATTTTTAGGTAGTCTATGATGACGGACTCGTCGCACAATAGTTTGTAGGAGTTTGATTCACATGTGGATGTTGGAGTTTCAGCAAGTTCTTCACATTTTGTTGAAGATATGTCGAATCCTTTCAGAGCGCTGACAACAGCTTCAGTATTCGACAATCTCAGAAGTTTGGCCGAAGCTTGAGAAATTGGCAAGATAGAAACTGCCATGAGGACAGCTACAAGTTCACGACCTGTTTCAGCGTAAAAGTCCACTTTTTCTAATACAGCTGCCATGAACATAATGAAGGACAGAAGAAGTTTCTCATCACTGCTAAGAAAATTATCGAACGAGTTGAAATATTTCAGTAGAGTTGGGAAGAAGAGCAAGTCGTACGAAAGGCTACAGTTTGACAGCACTGCGACGAATCTTCCAGAATCAGTCTTCGTCACTTTACCGATGCATTTGAACAGTTCATGTCCTTGTCTGTCCACGACCACTGCACATCGGAAATTATAGTGTTGTCGCTTTGCGAGAGCAGCAGCTATCTCGTCGAGGGAGTGTTTAGTTGTAGTTAAGCATTCTTCGACACTTTTTGCCATTTGCTGCAGTGAAGCTTTCTCTTTTGCAGAAATAAGCAGCAAATTAAGTTTCTTCATTGCGCCCAATCGTGGAGCTGGTGCGGCAACTGCATGAACCAAACCAGCGGCGTTGGTCCCACTCACACCGAAAGACGTTAACCCACAAGTGTCCAGTTCCACGTCTTCTCCAACAACTGGCAGCGTCAGAGATCCAGCATCTATTCGTTTGTTCAAAATATGAAAATGAAGGGCGGGAGGAATGTAATTGTGTCGAAGCATGAGTAACAGTTTGATGAGAGCTGCTCCGCCTGCTGAGGCTTCTCCATGTCCAATGACGTTTTTGATAGATCCGATGTTGATGTCTTTGAACATCTTGGATAGCGTGTCAAATTCCGCTGGGTCACCGACACCTGTACCAGTACCGTGCGCCTCCCAGTACTGGGGATCAGG